CCGGCGCTGCGAGCCCCTCGGGCGGCCGCGGCAGGTCACCGCGCTGCAGCTCTGGGAGGAGATCGTCAAGGTGCACCCAAGGTATTCGGGGAAGTTACTGCTCTGGCGCACAAAGCTTAATTTGGTTGGGTTGGGGTTTTTGTTTTGTTTCGTTTCTTGGTAAATACAAATTCAGCGTTTAGAGTTGAGCTGGAATACGTATCAGTACTGTGATACTATAAAAACAGTGACACGACCCCGTTCCTGTAACCTGCGGCGAGCGTTTTGTGTTCTGGCCAGTTGCAAACGCTGTAACTTTGTGCGTACGCCAGGAAGGAATAGGTCCGATACACGTACCCAAAAGCTGTGCCGGAGGGGTGGTGTGGGCGATGCGGCCTGTTGCCCAGGAGGGCCGCGGTGCGGTGAGTCCGCCGCACGTGGAAACCCCTGAGCTGTGTTAGTGGCCCGTGGAGAAGGTGAGATGTCGCAAGGAGGGATTGAGCGCAGCCAAGGCAATAAATAAGAAATTAATGGGAGCGTGCAGGTGTTTCCAGTCGCTTATCTTTAACTACACTGTTAGCTGTTGGTCTGAGCTTATGGGCCCCTCTGGAAGGCGGGTCAGGAAGGGAACTGACGCCCTGGCACACGCTTCCAGCCCCTCCGCCCTTACATGGGAAATAAGGTCAGTCATTTTCAACCTTCTCTGCTTTGAGAAAACGCCACCGCTGTTAATTGCACTTCACAGGGAGTCTGGTCCCAAGAGCGGGCTAGGTGTGAGCTGTAAGGACCTTAGTGGCACTGCTGCTCTTTGCGGGGGTGTCAGCAGAAATCCCCCCGCAGGTTAGGGCTGAGGGAAGGTGCTCAGTCCTGTCAAGAATGAGTCTGATAGACAGAGGGGCAACACCATTTTTGGGGTGGGGAATAAAAAACCAAAACAAAAAAGCTATAACAGAGGTTGAGGTCCTCAGGACTTAGGGCTGAATGGATTGGAATTTTCAGAACTTTGGACTTAGGTGCCAAAGTCTTCCTTTAGGCACCACACTACTTTATTACATCTAGTCTCAAAGGCTATGAAAAAAAACTTAACCTTTCCTATTTAGCAAAGGCGTCTGTTTCCAAATGAGAAGCTCTAACCAAATGTTAGACCAGACGCCTTTTCCCCACAGAATTGAGACTGAGTGTGTTATGGGGGAGTAGGCTGTAGGGAATGAGAGTATTTTATTTTGCAGCCTATTATGTGGTGTTAGAAGCAGGAGCAGCACCTTTGGTCCATTTGCCATAGTTTTTCAACTTTGTCCTTTTATGAATGATGACTTGGGGCGGTACATTTTGCATGTGCAGTTACTTCACAGCGGCCTTCTTGGAAAATGCTTCTGCTCTTAGCTTTTCTGGAAGAACTCAACATAATTGTATGGCATTGACCACAAACTTCTATTCACATTGCTAATGGATATTCATACTGCAGCTTGAGCGTACTTCACAGTGCTCTTCTGTTCCACCCATTTTCCCTGATGAATTAACTTGCAAGTGACATTAATTAGAGCCCATCCTTCTAATGGGCACTTCAGTTCCATAGTTGCACTGAGTTCTTCAGTGGCTTGCTTTACTTTCATACAGGCCCTCCCTTCAGTCTGCCCTCTGAGTCAGTGCTACTGTGTTTTCCTCAGCCTGCGCCTTGCCTGCTTTTGTCTATCGGGCTGGTAGGAAATAAGATGATTTTTAATTGTACCCTTTTGGCGTGCTTACTTGTTTCTAGGCAATACAGCTCTCCACTGTCTGTGCCGGATTTTGTAGTCTGAAACAATAACAGTTATCACGTCTGCACCTTTTAAAGTAAAAAGTTGTCATTCTTTCTCTGCTGTTTTACTGGTGTTGCCCTCATACTCATTGTGTGATTGCACTTAGTCATGGAAGCGACTCCCTGCCTCATGGTACCCAAAGCTGTGGACTTCTACAGCAACATCTCACAGATTTGAAATCCAAAAATATATAAAAGATCTTCCAGAAAACCCAGCATATCTACCCTCTTAGTTCTGTTGCCACTGCTTATCATTAGCAAATTTGAGACCTGTGAGTACAAAAGACACAAAGCCTCATATATGGTGAGGTTATACAACAAGAGCAACTCTTTGACCATTGAATCTTCATGAGATCTCATGAACAGCATCCCACAATGCTTCTTGCTGTGGAAGAAGATTGCTCCAGTCCAGCCAGACTGAATCAGGGCAACATTTCCTTCTAGTCCCAAGTTGGATGGTTGCTACCCTCTTGAGCTACCTACTTCTTTGTTAGAAGCTGCTAAAGTGGGTCAGGTATACATTGGTTCGTTCTGATGCAGGCCTATGACAAATCCAGTTCCTGACTTCTGAAAATTATACTGCGTTGGCTTCTCCTTAGCCACCAGAAGAAAATCCAAAAGTAGGAGGTGGGTGTTGTATTTTTGAAAGTGTATTGGAAGCAGAGTTGCATAAGTCTCAGTGGTATTTACCTCAGCTGCCCTAGACTCTGCACCAGTTTGTTGTTTAATGAAATCTCATGGTTAAATGCAAACACTCTATTTAGAAACCTATTTGTGCTCCTGCCAATCCCCCTCAGGCTTGCTGTCATCCAGGATCAAGTGGTTTTTGCTGTTCGGCAGGAGTACGTGCTTCTTGGAGATCAGCTCCTGGTTCTACAGCCCGGAGACGAGGTTGCCATCATCCCACCGATTAGTGGAGGCTGAATCTACCCAGGTTCTGTTAGGTAGGTATCACTTCTTGCTTAGTTTCCTATGGAGTGGGCCATTCTGTGCTAAAGTATCTCATGGATTTTGTATGATGTTCCTATTATCTTTTTTTTGTTTAGGTTCAGAGATGTGGTTGCAATTCTCTCCCCCCACCCCGGTACGCTTTTGAGAGAGCATAACTTGTGTTTCCTGCTGGAGAGAGCCATTGTACTGACCTGAAACAATAAGCTGGTGCACCAATAAATGATTAATGCTATGCAGTAAATGGAAAAAATTGCCAGAGAGGTCAGGTATTGTTTTGAATTTCGATTTTAGGTCTGGCTGCCAGTAGTTACCCAGCTTGCCTAAATAAAATAATAATGAAAAACCTCCTGCCACTTTTTAACAGAAAAATAATTGACTGCTGCTTAAACATCACCCCCTAT